ACCCTCCCAGACTCAGTTTTCTCATGTGCTAGAACTCTTTCAGGCCAGCTTCTTTGTATAAGCCATGGCATCCTTCATGGGCTCAGCTTCCTTGTGTACAGAATTAAAGGAACCACTGACATTCCTCTTAATTTCTTTCTACTTCCATGTACCCTTACACACCTGTTTATTAGTTAAACATGGAGGGTATGCAATATTAAGGAAGAATTCATATGCTTTCAGAATTAAAGACTGTTAAGGTATTTATGAACTCTTTTGTTGGGCTAAGGAAACACATCCTAGCTGATGCTTCCAGGCTGATTTCTTAGCTGGGTTAAGAATGATATTTCCTTTTTAGAGATGCTGATCTCATCGGATCCACTTGATTCACAAATGCTTCTGCAGTAGCCTCTTTCCACGGGATGTCAGGAAGATGCAAGAGCTGGGAGTCAATCACAGCCAGGGCACTTAAATTTTGTGAATGAACTCAGACACTCCAAGCTAAGATTTTACTCAGCATGCTGCCTCTCTATTGCCCAAAGCTGTCCTATCAAAAGTTAGATTGGGCCTCTATCTCATTTATAACATTTTTTTGTTTACATTAATAGCCCATTTGTGTTCCTTTAAATTCTCCATTGTGGGAGAAAAAAAAGTGAAGACTGACAGCCTTTCCAAACATAATGAGATGCAATAAACAAATGACAAAAAAGAAACCTTGGCAGCTCGAGGCTCTCAAAGCTTACTTAAAGGCCCCAAGTGTAGTTCTTGCTATCAACTTGTCTCCGAGGAGTCTTCAGGGACTTTACTGTAGATTGTACCTTTAGCATCCATCTTGTAGAACAGATAAAATGCCAGAGTGACTGAGACAGCTTGGCTAATACCCTGTCACACCTAGCACAGGCCAGAGAAGTGAGTGAGCTAAATGTGGAAAGAGAATGCAAATGGGTAGGGGTCCAGTAACATTCTGAACTTTATCCTATTCTCCCAGCGCCTGGAATGTGGAGACAGTGGGAAACATGTTCCAACCCAGGCATGGGTCCCCTGTGCCTGTGCCTAATGAATAATTAGAGTAAAACACAGGGTTTGTATATTTGGAGACACCAGTACCATTTGCAATGCATATATCCTGAGTGTTTTAACAGAAACATCGAGAATTCCATGTCTAATGATGCAAGCCAGTATTTTCCAGAAAGAACCAGCTGCCTGATAAAAGTCGATTTTTAGAACTGTCTGCAATAAAACATTTATACTGGTAAAAATGTTCCACTTTCTAATCACTGTAAAATAAAGTACTTTCAAGTTTCACACAATTTGCAGAGACATTACCTTAATGAGTTAGAAAAATCTTCAAAAATCAGAGGAGAAAAAAACCACACACAAATATCCTTCCCACACAAAACCCCGTCATTACGATTTAAATGGAAGACGCTATAATAACACAGCAGATTTAAGGCTGGCCGGTTTTGTGCTTCTCACTGTGGCATAGCCAACAGTCAGAGACATGTTAGTAAGTAGAGAGGAAATGGAGATATACCTAAAAAGCATGCTATATCCTTGATAGAGGATACGTCATTAGCTAATCACTTGTTAAGTGTACCTGTCTTTTAAAAATAATTTTCTTAGAAAACACACATTTTATTTGTCAATTAAAAAATGGTTGTTTGTGGCCAAAATAAACCCTGACTGTTCACTTGGAGATGAAACCCCTGCTCACTCCTCTGGGGGTAAACCTGACCTAGCATCCTCTAACTTGCTAAATGAACAGAGGTCATCAATCTGGGTGCTTTATCAATGGCCCCCAAAGCATTCAAAGATACCCTTCCTTGTCCAGCCATTGTCGAATTTATGTACATACACATGGCTGTGTGATTTGAATTTTATACAAGCATTGCAGACATTTGTAATTTGACTAAATACATGCGTGCACGCACACGCAGACACACACACACACACTGCCTGAGTTAGTGAGGAATTTCCATATACATCTTTTCTTTGAAATATTTTTGCTTCAAGTCCTTTTCATGTATACAATGATAGAGACAATACATCTTGATGTTAGAAATACAAGAGGCAATGGGAAAATGTCCTTGTGTTAGTCTCCTTTAGTTCCTTGTGCCAATAATAACAGGTACTAAATATAAAGTCAGTATGATTTCTAGCATAAATATTTCCCCTTTTTTCCTTTACCCTGGAACTCATACAAATATAGTAAGATAAATTAAAACAAAAGTGAGCTATAAACTTCAGTTATTGCTAAGAGGATCTTTGGGCACCAGAAACAGTGGATCTAAGGCCTGGGTACATCAGAGGAAGGAGAAAGTAGTTGAAGAAAACAGATCATGGGCAGAGTCTAAAAAATGGCTAACAACTCATTCCTGGTGAAGAGACTGTGAAGGACAAAATTTGTTTCTTCCTTGCAAGTATGGGGATAAACAGGGCCCACAGGGACGTTTTTCACATATAGCTGGGGGTCAGAGAAGCAGGGGAGCAGTCCCCCAAATCAACACATAAACCTGTTTTGCAATCAAGATCTGTATTGTGAAGCCTGGAGGGATGCTTCTTCTACAACAAGATCAGCATCAAGACAAAGATACATTTAAAAAAAAGTGTGGACAGCAGCAAAGTTCATCCTGTGCTGAAAACCACCGTGCAAGGTCAGGCCCCTTGCCAAGAGTTTAAAATACACAGCAAAGCAAACACATCTACAAAAGATGACCAAGAAAGTAGACATCTGAGCTTTATGATTGAGAAAAAGATGGTGGTGTGATAAATGATAGAACTGGAACTATCAGGACTCTGAAAAATAAGACTTAATAAAAATTAATACACTAAAATAAAAGTGGAAGAAAGTGGGGAAGAGAGGCATGGCCACAGACAGGACAGACATGACAGAATGAGGAAAATGAGTGATGAGATGAGAGACTAAGTTTGGCCACAGTGCTCCTCCTTGACATAACTGAAGCACCTAGGAGACCCCAAGCAATAAGAGCCAGACATCTAAAAAGACACGTAACCCCTTTTAGTTTTAAAATACAGTATCTGCAATTCAGGGAAAATGAACAAAAAATGTTCTCTAAGACATATATGCGGATTTATTACAATGAAAACAGAAGAGTGTTTTGTTTGTTTTTTTTGGGGGGGGCAGGGCTACTTAAAAACATCAAGTAACTTGTAAGGCAAGGTTGCCTCCATACCTGTCCACTCACTTGCTTTGTGAAGGACAAGGGGTAGAAGCCTCAAGGCTCACAAGACATGAGAAGCAAGGTGCCACTTCCAGGAAAGGTTCACTTCCGGTATTGATCTAGGTGGTATTAAAAGGAGGAATAGTTATGGAAAACTGAAAGGCCCAAGAAAATGTTTGCTATGGCCAACTAGAGGAAACCACCGGGAGATAAACCTGAGATGGTCAGAAGCGGCCGGCAGGAGGTAACCACACAGGTAGGAACTTAGCATGGGCCTGAGGACGGCAATGCAAAATCCAAGCGATAGACCTCAAATGCAAACCTTACAAACACAGCTGGGAGAGAGAAGCAGGCGTGGAAAGTGGACACTGTACTTTGTTTGCCATCACTGGGTGTCAAAAGTCATCAGCTCACCTATGTAACTGTTTCAGTGACATCGAGGAAAGAAAAATGACACCACTGCCTAAAATCGGGTGGTGTCAGAGAAGGTAAGAAGAGAAAATGAGCTGGTTGTTTTTGTTGTCACCAACAGTCCATAGAGTGGGCCTCGTGTTCTGTCTCCGGGTGTCCTCTGCTGGCTCTGATTTTCACCAGAGACCCTCTGCACCAACCGCACTGCGGGAGACCCTACCTTAGGGACTGTGCTTCTGCAGTCCCTTCACCCAGACTCTTCTGTGTGACTGAGGGCCTCAACCTCTGTGAAATGTGTCATCACATCTGCCTTCCTAAAAGGAGCCACCAAACTATCTGTCCCCTAAACAAAACCATTTCCTCACATTGGATCCCAAGGCTACTCAGTCAAGTTTTCAGGAAATACTTTTGTTATTTTTAGTTATGTGCATGTGTGTGCGAGTGCAGGTGCCTGTAGAAGCTGGAGGTTTCTCCTGGAGCTGAGGTTACAGGCAGTTGTGGGTCACTCAACCTTAAGCTGTGGGACGCACAACGTTAAGAGTATTACACCTCTGAGCCCTCTCTTCTCCTTTGTACACGGCATCAATCTCCTTTAACAAACTCCAGAAAGTCAGTAATTGCCTTTCTATTTGAGCTAAAGGGCAACCTCCATAAGCAACATTAGCTGTCTTGTTCCTTATTAAGTTAATAGTCCTGGTGCAGAATAGGTGTTCAATAAATATTTGCTGAATGAATAAATTAAGCATTTTGATCAAATGGTGGGGGTGGTGTTAGGAATAAGGATAAACTATACCATTAAACACATAGCACTGGGTAGATTACATATTCATGCAAAAAAACTGTAACTCTTACACTGTACGTAAAATGTGATACTATATTAAAAACTTGAACTTTAAGGCAAACAAAACTCCAAATCAACACAAATTCAGAAAATTATAATTTATGGATGGGGAAGAATTTCTCAAGCAAAAAAAAAAACTAGTATGCATCATCAATGAAGGAAGATTGGTAAGTAACTACAGTCAACCCATAATTCCAAACTCTGTGCCCTTCCCAAAAACTCTTACCCTAAACTGTTACTACAGAAACCCTAAAACCTCAGCAAACTCCATCTTCACTGCCTGGTCCTCTACACTTTTCACACCATCCATTTTAAAGTTGTGGTTACTTAGTATCTTTTTCTCCTAGTACTCACCCAGAACCTCCTCCACTATTTCTTGGTTTCATGTACTTTGCAAAATCTCAATACTGGCTAAACCAGATCCTCTGTCAACTGGGCAAAAGTCCATGAAGCTTAATGTAACTGGAGCAAAGGAGCCAATTTCTCTCTGCTTCCCACACCCATTGGAGCTACCATTCAGGTGACTGCTTCAGATCTCTCATTCTCTCCTCAGACCTCTGATACTGTCTTTCCATTCTCATCCACAGGGAATGCTCCTTCTTCTCTAGTCACTGAAAACCGAAGTCATACTGAGACCTCTGGTAGGCTCCTGTCTCCTCTCTACCCACTGACCAGCAAAGGGAACATCTGAGGATGACCTTCTGCCCACAAGGATGGATAGCCTGGTTTGGTGTCCAGCTGACTAACCCCCAGGTGTCTCCAGAAGTCATACCTTTTAAAACTTTCCATGACTGCTTTTGCCTACAACTGTAATGTGCCCTAAACCCTCCATTTACTGTGTAGTGTAAATACTGAGTGGTTAGATTTTAACTACAAAGATACTGTATTTCAAGTAATCACAGAGACACAAAAAGGACACTTGTCTGACTGGATAGAGAAATATGTGGAATTCATGCCACCTAATTTATGGAGCATTCATTGTTCTAGGTTCCAGGTATTTAGGCATGAATAAGATAAATAACATACCTAGTCTCCTGGAGTTTATCTTTTGAAAGGATTAAACAATTTATAATCTATAAGCATACTGTTTAAAACAAGGAGTCCAAGTGGGGATAATAAAGAGCAAATGTATTCATTGTAGCCAGTATTTTGAGGTTGGTTACCAGCACCCATGGCTGCCCACTCACACTGCCTATTAAGTACTACCAAACTAGTGATTCAGTCTTAACAATCACACCCACTATCAAGCACACCTCGAAACCCGAGAGACTGTGAGCATCCAGTGAAAATCTGAAAGCAGAAACTAATTGTACCTACACATGGGACATTCTAGGACAAATATGTGGTTAGAAATGTTTTATGTTTATTTATACTAATAAAAATTCTATTCTCCTTAAATGTGTATGCTTTTTTTTAATCTCTTGTCTTTTTTGTTTTTTAAATCTGTACAATACACAATGATACAGGGCTGACATTTTCTAAAGGTATACATCTTGACTTTTTATTTGAAGTATTTAGTCCAATGTAATTCAATAGTCTAGAATTGCACAGTAATTGAAAAAGCTTATTTAGATTTATTTTGGATTTAAGTTGTCCGTCAATACGCAGAGGGATCCCTGGGGATCTAGATAATTCTGCTCTCTGAGACATTCCACTGTTAGGGCACCATTACTCAAGGAGAAAATCATATCTTCAGTCTACTTAAGAATGTACAATAAATTTTGTGCACAGGGAAAATTAGGCTTTACAAGGTATTGGAGAAAGGGACATATATACTAAGATTTAGAAAGGAAAGTGCAGGTGACTAATGAGCCCGAGAGGCTGATTGATAAGGGAAGATTAAAAGAACTAACTGGGTATGGAATAGCAGAAACATTATAAAGGCTGAAACTATGTGACTTGACTCATAACAAAGCACTCCATCAGGGGATTTAAAATTGACCAGAGAAAGCAAACCTATACAAGCACCTACAATTCATGAGCATGTCTGAGAAGGGGTCCAAAGATTCGAGTGTTAAACCTCCATTTACTGGTAACGAAGGTGAAGCAGTCCAGACACATTTCTTTGTTTTCCCCCAACACATGATATATTAAATAAAAAAAACAAAGAAACCAACAAAAAAGAGTTCTTTGGGCACAGGTTACTATGTTTAGAAAATTGTATGAGGCAGAATCATTCTCTTTATGGAGACAACTGAATGATTACCTGCTACTTAAGCTTCATATCTAATGTCAGTACTGGAAAAGAATGAGTCACTTTCTGTTTAGGTCTCACTCCATGCAGGGTAAATGCATGTGCAGTGGTATATAATATATAGCATATAGTATTTATAGATTGCTATTCAAATCATGATAAATTATAGCAGGCCTTTCCTACAGTGCTGTAACGACTTTAAGGTTGATTTAAATGAATTTAATTATGCTTTCTAGCCAATCACCTCGGCACAGTTATCTGGCCCTGGTTATTTTGGGAAAAATAGTGTACATTTATAGGAAATTGTTTTCCATTATGAAAACCCAACCAACTTAGAACAGTCCAAATCAATAACTTCTAATATATTTATATATTAAGTAGTATAAGGGAATGAACTCATGATATATATGTGATATAAAGTGAACCTACCCAATTTTCACATAGCTACATACAAGAAGACTCATTCTATAGCTAAGTCAAGACTTACTTGATATAATATTGTCTTAATATCAACACAATTATGGAATTTTATGCTGATTTTCTTTAAATTTTCCCTACAAAAATAATTTGTTCTATATCAGCAATAGATATTTTCAGATATTTGATGTGTTGATACAGCTGTACTATAAACACAAAATAAAAGTCATATATTTCAATAAGACATCGTAGTGTAGTATTATAGGAATAACAACAGGTTTGGACTAAACATTTCAGAAACCATTATGGCAAAGCTTAGCCAAGATTTATTTTATTATGGAAACTTTCCAAGTTTCTCTGAGCCAGTTAACTGTGTCTCCACACAATGGTCAAAAGGCAGAAGAAACAGCTTTTAATTTTTTTATATTTACTGAAAATATAACTAATACATTATACATCTGATGACAGATATTTAACATTTAGACTTTTAAATCATCCTTTTAAAATATTTATCTTAAGGTCTTGAAAACCCAGTGTCGACTCCACTTTGTGGTCTAATGGTTAGGATTGACACTGACACAGCCTTTAGCACACTGTTTACAATCAAAACTCAAAGCATGATTGCAAACAACCCTGTTAAAAATGGCCACAGATTTGAAGGGATATCTGATCAAGGACACAGATGACGAGTAAAGATATGTGAAGGGGCTCCACATCACATGCCACCAGGTACACACAGACTTACATGAGACACCGTAATCTGCTACCAAACATACTCTAAATCCTAGCAACTGTGCTTCTTACTATTTATCCAAATGAACTGAAAACCTAGGTAAACACAAAACTAGACACACAGATGTTTATAGGAGCTTTGCTTATGTTTGCTGGGAGTCAACTAAGATGTTATCTGGCAGGTAAATGGCTAACTTCAGTATGGCACTTCCAGGGCAGGGGAACATTACTCACTACAAAGAAAAAAACAAGTTATTAAGGCAGGAAAAGAAGTGAAAAACATAAATGAGTATACTAAGTGAAGACGTCAGCTTGAACGTTATAGACTGTATAATGCCAAATAAATGATGTTTGGGAACAACAAAACTGTGGAACCGGAAAAAAAGATCAAGTAAACTACAACCTAGAGTCAAGGATCTGCCAAGGTAGGACCTTCAAGTTCAGTACCTCTCTGGAGAGGCTGTGGAGAGGCCAGAAGGTGGCTACTCTGCCTTCTGAGTCTCTAGTTTGAACTTTAACCTGGTCTTTAATAGCAAGTAAAATATATTTGTAAAAATTCTAGGTCAGGAGCAATATGCCACTGAATTAGCTTTAATAATTTCATAAGTCAAACCAAAGGACAGTGCTCTAGGCCCCAATTTGATACCCAGAGCTATGTTTTCTTCTAAATTATATGTAAAATAAAATTTACAAACCTATTACATACACACAAACCATATACAAATATTTAATATCAGCCTTAGACACAGGTTTATGTTGTGAAAAAAAGACCCACACGTGTGTGCTTATGCACATATACATTTGTGTGGCTGGCAGCTCACACATGCATGTTAGATCTTCACATACACATATTGCAGGTCACACATGCACGTTAGATCTTCACATACACATATTGCAGCTCACACATGCACGTTAGATCTTCACATACACATATTGCAGCTCACACATGCACGTTAGATCTTCACATACACATATAGCAGCTCACACATGCACGTTAGATCTTCACATACACATATTGTAGCTCACACATGCACGTTAGATCTTCACATACACATATTGCAGCTCACACATGCACGTTAGATCTTCACATACACATATTGCAGGCCACACATGCACGTTAGATCTTCACATACACATATTGCAGCTCACACATGCATGTTAGATCTTCACATACACATATTGCAGCTCACACATGCATTTTAGATTTACACACACACACACACACAGGTACACACACACAAACAATGGCTGTGGACAGCAAGTTACGTACATGTTAGATCTTCTGCTATGGGATCCTTGAGTGTTTATAAAATTAGCACCATTTAAATAGCTTCCTACAATACCATCAATCAATCACAGGGTATTAATTTAAGAAATGTGCTGACACAAGGAAACAAAGTTCTTGTTGCTAAAGACTGCCAAAATCTTGTGGCTTCTCCAATAGGTAATAAAACTCTTAAGCACAGAGCACATCACGGTCCTAATAAATCGGAGGGTCTGCTCAGTCTGACGGGGAATGAAATAAAGCGTAGACAAGCTTCCTGTAATGAAGAATCTGAGTATCAGTCACTTCTCCGCTACTGTGCAGAAGCATGGGGCAGGCCACAAATTCATTTTTCCCACGAGTACACACTGTCCATTATGGCGGAGATGTCAGAACTTACTCCTGTGTGTCATATGGGAGTTAGGACCAACAGACAGTGTGTTGTGCTCAACATTCCCCTTCTGAGAGCTGCACCAACAGTGTGTCGGACACTTCTCAGGTGAAGTCTGTTAGGCCTGAGTAACACAATGCAGCAGAAAATTTTAAGACTATATTGGATACCTGAACAGTTCACAATGACAATCGATAAAAGATTAGAAACAGAAAACAAAGTAAAAATTGTGTTCATTTAAGGATTGCATGACTCATCAAAAGAGGCTGTGAAATAGTGGTGTGCTAAGCCTGCTAAAATCATATTTCTTCTGATTAAAGGTCACAGCAGGTCCTTTCTCTTCTAGTCATTCCCAAACCTGCTTCCTGCTACTGTGAATGTCCTTGTGAGAAAGTAGGTGCTCTCTCTCCCTTGAGTCAGGTGAGGGAACGGTAAAATGAGAAGATGGTGGCTGTCCCTGAAGGTTTATTAACTGGACAGGACTGTGCGACACATGTGCATACACATTCCATAGGCTAGCACTTTGTTAAATATAGACACAACTAACTGCAGGAAGGTGGTCTCCCATGTGCTTGGGAACAGAGGAAAATGGATTTTATAACACTCTATTCTAATTTTATTTGTCAGTCATTGTGAATACAGCTATTTTTTTCCAGGCACTTTTATGTGGCAGCAAGAAAATGCCGAGATTGTTTCTGACTGATTTATCAATCTCATTGCTTTCTTGACTCCACCCCACACCAACATAGTTGTAGCTTCCTATATAGAAGCTGGTTTGGATATCGAGCCAGAATCAGTCCTTACAGTTGAAAAGGTTTTTACCGGACCTTTACAGCGGAGAACTTCCTTTGAGTACTTGTTACTATTTGAAGTCCAGAAGTAGCTGTAGTTCCTGTACTCACAGAGAATCTGACCACCGAAACTTTTCCACTCCCATTTTCCATGCTGAAACAGTAGCCGGTTCTCACCGGCTCTCACCCTGTCTCACTGAAGACATCCAGAGTAGCAAACATGCAATTACCCTGAGGCTTAGAGCCTCTCCCCAGAGCCAGGGCTCAGCAGTCTGTCTTGCACATTGTCACAGTTGCCATTAGAAAGTTATTTCCAGTAACTGGCACTGCGCAGTCTTTCAGTCTGTGCCCCCCCCCCGGGTCTGATGCACATTTGCCTTGGGTCTTTATTATGGCATCAGTTCACTCCCAGACCTGATTTCTGAATTACTGTACTGGGAAAACACTGCCTGCTATGACAAGCAAAATATGGTGACATCTGTGGCTTAATAAAGGCTCATCTTGGGATCATGCAACACACACAAAAGTTCTTCCTCAGCCAGTAGCCTCTAATGCAACGGAGCCTTCCTCCAAGGATCTGCAGCGCTGCGTCCTCATGATCCCTTCCAT